TAAATAAAACTTATATAATGCTTATACAATGTTTCAGTGGCCAAGTTACATAAATCACAAACATATACTGAATAAAACACAACACAACAGTGTAATGACTGAAAAACTTGGTGCGTGGAGTTTTAAAGAGATGGGATTCTACCAGGCAGGGGTCTATTTCTGCATTAACTCACATTGTTGCTGTAATTATTAAGTTATTAAGATGCCAGAGAGAGCTTTAATTCTAATGTGCACATCTTTTATGTTCTCCTTTAACTGCATGCTACCAGTAACATCAGCTGCTTTCAAAACAACAAAAAACAGTGGATTTCATACATTCATGTATAACACAGAAAAATGTGTATTGTTTTACAATAACATACATATTTAAGTTAAGTCACATTTAAAAAAAAAAGCAAATATATTTGTTGATGCTGTTTTTCCAGGAAGACTAAAACTATGACAGCAAATAAAATCTGAATAATAATGTGACAGATGGATGAAAGGACAAATGAATTACTGTCCTAATGCAAAGTTGTATAGAGGGTATGCATTGATGTCACTTCCCCTTCTGGAACACGCTGGACTGAGTGGCAAAACATCTGTTACCATGGCTGGGTGATTATTTGCTCAAATTAAAGGCAGTTGGACTCGACAGTGATCCTAACTGCTTACCAAAGAACCAGCGGTCCAGCTCTTTCCATTTTAGATGAGTTGTTTGTGTTTTAGCTGATTCAAGCGAACACTGCTGCTCGTCTTTCTGCCACTCAGTGAACATAACTGCGTTCTGTGACGTCATGCGCATACCCTCTATTCAACAACCTGCAAGCATCTGCAGAATCACACTGTCGCTCCTGATTAGTGAAACAGTCTCATCCCACCCGTTCTGCTTCCTTCAGTAACGTTATCTAAATAATAGTTACTGTAGCTCCAGTTCTATGAGTACCTGTGTTGCCCTCTTGGCTATTGGTTTACCAAATAGAGGCTCTGCCTCAGCACCCTGTATTGAACTATTCATCTGAGCGAGAATCAGAACAGACCTCTAGTACCTATGCAACCTTTAACACTCAGTGACTGGAAGTCTGAGTATTGTTCAGTCATTTTGTCTAGATTTGAAATGTTAAGACAAAATGTACTACACTCTCTGATTCTAGTGGTAAAGAAGTGGCTAAACTGAGAAAGAATTTGACCAAACTATGTGGAACAGTCCCCTCTAGTGAAAGCTCTCGTTATCTTGAGGCAGCACAATAAACTGCTTAAGTGGTGGTGGACCAAGATTGTGTATGATCTTATGTTACTTTAATTTAAAGCAGAGTCATTTACCTGAAAGCCAGCTCAAAAACTGATCCTCCACTGTCATTGCACACCGCAAGAGTTGGGTCATCTGTGAACTACAGACACAAAAACAGAGACATAATAAAAATGGACAGAAATAACCAAGATCAATTTCTGAGAGTGTGTGTGTGTGTGTGTGTGTGTGTGTGTGTGTGTGTGTGTGTGTGGTATTGTTTTAAAGCTGGGGTGTTTTGGTAATACTTGTGTATGGGGAAATGAGCCAGAGTGTGTTGGCAGTAGCCACTACAACATCAGCCAACAGCCATTCTCCTATTAAAATATGTGGCTGAATAGATAATAGTGTATGTGTGTGCGTGTTTGTACCTTCACATGCAGTATAGCTGTCCCTGGAGGGTGGGCATCATTGATACTTCTCAAAAGCTTCCCATTGGCTAGATCCCACATCGTGATCTTATTATGCAGACAGAAAGACAGACAGAGAAAGTCTGTTCAGGATTTAAAGTGCAATGATTGGCAATTATCATTTTTAATAAACTATTCAAACTAAACTAAATTAAAACATGTTCATTCTCTCATTTAATAATAATATGTGGCTAAGTTACATGTACGGTATGCCAATACTGCAAATATTGTGAGGAAAGCACAAATCTGTTTAATCCATTTACAGTTATTATCCAGGGGAAATGCTGTCTGGAAGATCGTGTTTCAACAAAAAATCAGATCAATCTTCATCAAAGGGTGTGAAACTGTGATTCTGGAGAGGGGTGAGCCTCTATAACTGCAAGGACCAATCAGTGGTAAAGTGGATACCAATATTGTACTGCAATAGTCACATAGTCAGATTTGTGATTACAGCAATCAATATTTTCATAATTGTGTATTTTACCGATTATCCACAAGAATGTGGCTCAAGCAATCTGGAAGTGCTATAAAATTAGTGCGGTTTCACTCATATATGTCAGCATGTGTAACCACTGCAGTTGTACTGACAGTAGATTCCATTTATCAGGAGCTTGACACTACTGGTTCACTGACAGATACCACTTCCCATCAGCAGATGCCTCTTAAAACTAGCAGATACAGATGGCAATAGGCAGCTGTCACTACTATTTGGTATTTAAGATAGCAGCAGGGCTTCCCACTACTACACACAGTTTTAGGTTGCATTGCTGAATCAGCCACTAGACCTCTGAAACACACTCCAGCGGCTAATACATGTTCACATCCCAAAATGATGCTACTTCCTGGCCATGTTTGTTTGATTCTGCCCTTTTCTTCTTTTAACTCATTCCCATTTTTGTCTTTTCTCCACATTGAATTTACTTGCTATATTATCACAAATATTGTTTAATCTCTACCAGGGCATCATACTTCCACATAATGCACATGAAAGACAACGTGACCAAAAAGACATAAAAACACAAAAGAACCAAACCTCACCAGCTACTTTTGTTAAATTCATCAGTGTTCTTCTTCTAAAGAAATTGAATTAGAAGCCCAGTCAACAAGCCTGTTATTGTCTGTCTGTATATACCTGTCCTTTGGCGAAGCCGCAGAGAAGTCGTGAGCAATCATGGTTGATGCTGAGGGCGGAAACGGCCCCAAACTCTGCCCCAGTTGCCTTGGTACCCAGACAGAGCCGCAGAGCCTGGTTGGCATCTGGAGAGGAGGGTTAAGAGGACATTTAACTGCTGAAGCAGGGGTACAGACTTTCAGAAGGTGCAGATGGTAAAATAAATTGTAAAAAAGACAAACGCAAGGTTTTCCAAGTCCTCAAGTAACAGTGGAAAAACTGACTCAAACAGTACATTGATATCAAAACACAACAAACTGGCACCAAATGAAGAGCTGGAAATGAAATAAACACTGCTAATTGCAATCAACCCAATCAAACATTAAAACATGCACCAAAATGGACATGAGCGATGATGTCTCAGTGCCAGTCAGGTTGAACTCAAAATGAACAACATTAAGCATGAGTGATCCATCTGACAGGGGGGGGGGGGGGGGGGGGTTCATACCTTTTCCTGCCCATCATTATGTCAGCAATATAAAGAGACATGGGTCAGCCCTGCTGAAACCTCATCCCGATCAAACCCCAGTCAAAAACCAAACAACATCACAGTATGAACGTGAACTCATTCATTTTGCATCTGCTTTCACCTAAACCAGGTCAGGAGCAGGATTTTGTTGGTCATCCCTAACTTCTTCACACTCCTGTTACTGCAGCTCAACATGATGATTGTCTCCCGTCCCCCTGTCCTCCCTACTTAGCGACACACCCACTGACAAACCAGCTCTGATTATTGGCAGCTCCATTTTGAAAAACGTGAAGTTTGCGACACCAGTGACCCTAGTCAAATGTATTCTTGGGGGCAGAGCGGGCGATGTTGAGGATGTCGCTAAGGATACACACAGTAAGACTGTTATTCACGTAGGCGGCAACGACTCCTGATGATGCCAATCACAGGTCACTAAAATGAATGTTGAGTGAGTGTGTACATATGCAAAGACAATATGGGACTCCACAGTTTTCTCTGGGCCCCTCCCTAATCTGACCAGCGATGACATGTTTAGCCACATGTCATCATTCTGCTGCTGACTGTAAAACGACGTGGGATCAGTAGATAACTGGCAGACTTTATGGGGAAAACATGGACTGATTAGGAGAGATGCCATTCATCCCATTCACGTAGGTTAAGTATGTGCGTATGAACGGGTACTCGGGCGACTAGTGTATATTTCACTTAAAACCAAACACTACTTTAAACATGCCCTAGTGAGATGTACTCGTGATAATGCGTCATTGTAAATAAAAATATTGGAATTAGAAGTAAGATTTGTTTCTCTTGAACCAGTGGTCATCATCGGTCACTGGCCTGCTTCTTGTTAATCTCACACCCTGTCTCCCTCAACAGGATTGAATAAAAATGTTGTTTTTTGTAGCCATTGTTCCACTGCTTCACTTTTAAATGAACATAACAAAGTAGAGATGAGACATGTAAAATAACATGTCCTCTCCAATTTCTTGAGTCACCAACACTGACATGAACAGTTACTCATGAGATCCGGGTACTTGATTCACCCCTACCTCTTCGGAAAAAAAAAAGGTACATGGACACATTGCACAGTAATTAAGAAATACACATTTGGGTGGTGCACATACTAATCGAAAGATGTCTGGGAGCAGCTCCTGGCTCCTTCATCTTATCATATCTTGATCCTGTCATATGCTGTCGTGTGCCCATCCTGACTCATGCCCCTTGGACCCTGTCAACTGTGTGCCTCTGCAGGGCTGAATGCTAATGCCGCCCTTCTTGATTTTTTTTTCCATTTGTAATTGCATCTCGTCTGACCACTGCCCTGCCTTACCCGTTGATCACTATTATTTACATAGTGCATAATTACTGTCTTGGTTTACTGTATAAAAGAGCTTCATTTCATTTGCTCTTTCTTTCTTTTTCAAATTCCTTAAGCTAGAAACAAAACAATTTTAAATAAATTAAAGTCTTTTTAAATTGATTTAATACTTTTCTTCTTTTAAACCAAAACAAGCATACAAATTTAATTCAGTAAGTATCAACTCAACCTTATCCGTCTGACTTGGTTAGAGAACATACAATAATGCATCTGCACAGAGTAATGATACTATATTTTTTTAAATAGTTTGTGTAATCACAAATTAGCAGTGTGCAAATTCCTATACTACGGAATTGATCATATTTTTGTGGTTGTCCTTATTATTGCTTTTCAAAAGAGTGCCATCATTCTCATAAAGTGTTACCCTGTGACTAACTGGCAGACCAGAAAGTCTTTACCCTCCTGAAACTGGCAGACCAGTACGTCTTTACCCTGCTGACGTCCCGCCCTGTGCAAATAATGGATCCCCATTTTAAAAGGCTCAAACAAACATAAAAAGCTCCAAACAAAAGCATTCATAGTTGTAATCAATCCAGTGCTGTAAAGGTGATAAGGTGGTGGCCAGGTCCGGGAACAGAAACGGGAGCTGATACTGGACAGGAGATAAGGAGTCAACTGGTGCCTAAAGGTCCTGATTACCTGAGTCAATAAAATCCAATGTGTGGGCAGCTCATGTGCAATGTGACTTCACCACCACATCCTGCTTGAAACCTGGACCAACAATCTGTCAGCACAAACCACTGGTTTTGGTTCTGCAGATCACAAAAAAGTAAGTACTCTTGTATTCACATAATGGGTGACTTAGACAGCACATATTAGTGATTCTAGCTCATCTTTACGAGTGTAGGCTGATGTTGCTAATATTGTTTCAGCAAAAGATAAAGTTTTTTGAGACTTATTTCCTCATGGTTATCGAGAGCCACTGTATTCACAGTAGACCAAATGACTAAAAAGAGAAACTTCTAACAGTTTGATTTGATTAACTTAATCCAGCTTTCAGGCTTGTATAAAGACACAAAGCTGGTGGCTATTACACAATCTTTCAAGTTATCATTGATTTAGATTTGTTTAAAATTATATTGTTTTTATTGACCTAGTTATTCACAGCTTATAACTGTTGTCGTTTGCATGACTGTTTCGCTAGGTATTGTGAGATTCCAGGCCACGGGGGGCTTGACCAGCGATGCAAAAACCTTCATTTAAATAAAGTTGAAAAAAGTCATAATAATGAAAATTACGGCAAAATGAGCCTGAAAAATCAACCAAGAAAGTGTTGTTGTTACTTGCTGTTGGAGGAAATTATTGTTGTAATTAGTTCAGTTAGTTCTTACATGCCACGTTCAAGCTAAATAGTGATTAAGAACAGTATTTGTGTTAGACTAAGTAAGTGAGAGCAGTGGTGAGTTGACAACAATTACTTTCTAGGCTGCAAGCACACAGAGAATCTGCTGTTTCCAACCACCATACCAACCATTAGTGTTTTTCAAGGTCTTTATTACCGGTTCTAGCAGCCTTATTTCTCTGAAATCATAAAATGATGTATTTTCTATCCAAAGGCATCTGCCAATCCACTCAAAAGCTCAGACTTTATCAGACTTTGTCGCTCTGTTTCAGAGATGCTTAATTTACTAAAACGATGCTGTCTTGTCTCTACAGCCTCTTCCCCTGCCACCGCTCCACACCTCATTACAATGCCTCATCGCTGCTGCTCTGTCGAGATTAACAACAGCTCTGGCTGCTACACTCTCGCCAATCCAAGGTATCACAAGTGTTGATGAGTTTAATGTGTATTTTTCATTAAGTAGTTAAACACAATGAAATAAGGACCAAATAAAGTTGCCAAAGTTAAGGGGCAGCTATGGCTCAGGAGGCAAAGCAGTAGGTCAGTCCATTACAGTTCATTTCCTATTAGTTTCACTTTTTGTGTTTGTGTGTTGATGCATACAAAGAAACAAACTGATTTTTGAACAAGCATATTTAGCTGCTTGTTCCTCCTGTCCATACTGGCCACCAAGACTTCTAATATTGTACAACATGTATCTCAACTCATTAACATGGCCACACGGTGCTGCTGGACTTAATAGCTGCCTTGGACATAATTGACCATGGCATCCTTTTAGATGGACTGAGGCACTGTGTGGGCATATACTTTAAGTGCTCTATAAATAAAATAAATACATATTTTCCTGTACTGATGACTCATATTAGCTTCAGCTGGACTTTGGAAGTCATTTTTACACAAAACCATGACTGTGTATTTTGTCTACAATAACTTACATTGAAATGGTTTGTAATAGCGTACAATGTTATTTTAGACACATTACATTTACATCACATGTAATCATTTCTTCATTTTATCCAAAGTGACTTACAATTGCTATATATGTCACAGGTCGCACGCCTCTGGAGTAACCAGGGGGTTAAGTGTCTTGCTCAGGGACACATTGGTGGATGTGTAGTTTGCTGACACAAGTTTGCTTCCAATTTTGTGTCAGCAATTTTTTTGTTTCAACATGAAACGGCCCCAGGTCCAAGGCCAGGTCCAAGCACTGACCTCAATCTCATCCAACTCCCTCAGGGTGAACTAGAATGTCAGCATCATCTATAGTATGATTTGGGAAAAAAAAGGTTTTGTATGAACCGGTCTGATTTGTTGTGTCTTTGTGTTCAGAGTGTTCACTGAGAGCGGGCACTGTGAAGTCCCTCTGCCACCCATGGTGGGTCCCTGCTCTGCTGGCAGTGCACTGTTCAACAAGACAACCGGCGCTGCCACCGGGGCTGTGGGCGTCTTCACCTACGACCTTTTCAACGCAGAATACAACGACTACAGCCACGTCATGGCTGTCATGTACTCCGTGCCCTACGACCGAAACCTCTACTCCAGCTGGTTCGCTGTGGGGATCTTTGAAAGAGGAACCGAGTGCGACTACAATCTTTATGATATGATGTATAAGGGAAATGAAAATAATTTTGTAAGAGCAAAGGCTGATGGCTCCTGCATTTCTTATGAGGGTAATTATGTTATCGTCAGTGCCTCCATGTCAGATTCAGGCGAAGCAGTCCTGAGGGTGGATGTCAATGATACTGGCATGTATTAAGCCAAAAGAAGAAAGATCTGTTGTTATGTAAACCATATGAGACGATCACAGTCATTTTAACATTTCAAGTGGCTCATTAATCAATATACTTAAAATATGCACATGATTGTACACTAAATATTGGTTATTACACTTGTGAATTTCAAAAGGTGACGCCGAATTACAAATAAAAAACAAGACTTTCCTGTGTCAATCA